TTCATCCCTTGGCACCTTTCCCACCTCTCTGACGTCTCTTCCAAGAGACCAACATGAGTTCATTGGCTACGTCATCTTTAATGATTCTTCTCTTCCCTGGTGTTTTCATGGGATCAGTATTTGTCTGGAGATGCAAAAGGCATGGTTAGCCAAAAAGTATGGTTAGCTGTGGTGCTTTGCTCTCTGCTGGGCAATCAGGCTCCATCAACTGCTCAAATTGGGCCTGAGTTTGTTGGGGAATCTGGGAGACTGGAAATAAGGGGAACTGGGAAATGGGAAGAGTTTGGGAAGCTGTGTGCAGGGCTGTTGTTGGAAGAGAAGTTATGATGAACAAGAACTGACAGCCAGATGGAGATGTGGATGGATCAGAACCCAAGCTCTCTGTCCTTCAGTTCTTGGAGATCAGCAGGGAAACAGAGGCTGTTTCCCACCCACCTGGTGCCATTGGGAGACCCCTGCACACCAGGGTGTGGGTGTTCCCTGTGCAGCAGAGCACGGTGATGGCAGCATTGCCCCAATGCCAGTGGGTGCCTGATGGCCAGAAGAACCTGAGCCTCAGCAGCTCACCATGCCAGCGAGCTTCAGACAGCCCCACACGCAGGAAATCCTGGTGCTGCCACATGCTGCACACATGTGCCTTATTAGCAGTGTCAGAAGCCTCCAGCTTGTGGGTGACTGCTAACCACAACCACCAGCGTGAACCTCCTGCTTGGGGGTCATTCACAACAACCCGCAGAAATGCCTCAGAGTTGGGCCATGTTGAAAGGAGCTGGTGGGTTCCTAATAAATAAATAAATAAAATAGAACCCCTTTATTATTTACTTATTGGGCCTCCTGGAATTTGGGAGTACTGCAGTAAAAAGACTGGGGACATCTGGAACCCCCCAGACCAGGAATCCAAGGGTGGCCATAGTAGGACAGTCTGATTTGTGGCCTGAGATCATGTTTTCCAGGCTCTGTCTGCTCTGTTGCAGATACTCATGGGTGCTCACCTACCCAACGATGACCATGGTCTGGTGTCTGAGCCATCAGGACATCTAAGGCGAGCCTGAACCCAAGCTACAGACATCCTCACCATACGTCTCTATCACAACAGCTGACCTACCATTGCTGCAGATGGTTCTAATTGCAATTAAAGCATTGAAGGGATCAAAAGTTTGGGCACACTGTGCATTAGAAATGCACCTTCATCTCATGCCTTCCAGCATTACAGACTTAAGTTCCTTCCATCGCAGTGAGGCTGTGAGATCTCCTGCATGCACACAGGTATAGCAGAGCTCTTACTTTGGGGATGTGATATTACAGCAAAGCCCCAGACAGGACAAGATGAGAGCCAAGCAATAGTCCTTGGTGGGTCAGCAGCTCCAGGCTGAACTCTAGGAGGCAGTTCTTCGCCCAGCAGTGCTCCATCTGAGGCACCCGTGCACTGTGTGGGAGCCACACCATGGGAAGCACACAGCTGGGTGCTTGTCCCTCCATGCACCCATCTGTGGAATGGGAGAGCAGAAGCAGCCCACCTAAGCCAAGGAGAAATTAAATCTTACTTTACAAAACGTTGCATTGAGTGATGGAAAGGAAGAACAGGACAACCCAGCAGCATTCCCAAGTTTCTTCTCCCTTCAGGAGGAAAACTCTGCAGAAACCACAGTTAGGTGTTGGATGGGGACCCCCAGCTTGCACTGCAGGCAGAGGCCAGGCTGCAGTGCACAGAGCTGGGAGGGTGCATGCCATTTGAACCATGGGGTGCTGCACCACACATCTGGGTCAGATACTGCCAGCATAAATAATCCATTGTGCTCAGGAGCCTGAGTCAGCCGTGCAGCTGGGTTCTCCGGCAGGTCAAGACTCATGCTGGATCTGTGTCATGGAGTGTGTCTAACCTGAGCTTCTTTTGTTATGGGCAGAGCCCAGTCTTCAAAGGGTTAAGGGTAATTTGAATGATTCCTTTTGTTTAGATTCATTTCAGGTTTCGTGATTTCTGTTATTACTGCATAAAATCACTTGCAGGCACTCGAGGTGGGGGCTGGAGGGAAGTATAGCTGTAACAGATGTGAGCTAATTGGAAGCACAGCAGCAGCACCAGCAAGTGCTGCGCAGCGCTTTGGAGGCCGAGAGCAGCCACAAAGGCTTTGTCACACCCTATCTGTGAATTACACTGGCCGCAGGGAGAAACAGCAAAGGAGAAAACATGCCAGGGTAGGATGGAGAATGCTAAATAGCGAGGCCGAACTTCAGCCAGCATCTCAGCCCTCCTCGCCCTGGGCCACCGTCAGCTGAGATAACAGCACCAGGTGCTGCCCAGCTCCCAGCTCCTCGGCTGTGCTTTGAAGTTGGATCCTTCTGATTTCTGTTCAGTTTACAAATAAGGCTGGCTGTGCCAAGGCAAAGAGGATGATGCCTGCGGAAAGCAGCCCTTTCTGGGTGCGACTGCTGCTGGGATGGACAGAGCTGGGGGCAGTGCTCTGTGGATGAGCAGTGTGCTGCCAGATAGGGACATCTGCTGCAATGCCACATCTGGGATGGGACAGGGTTGGGATGTGACAGGATGGGATGGGACACCTCATCCTACAACCAGTTGAGGAGCCAGCCTGCTGCGTTCCTTTCTGCTGGAAAACATTTGCTGTACCACAGCTCCATTAGTCAGGGCAAGTCTTAGAGCTGCCAGATTATTCATTGCAGCTATTCAATATTCATAATATTAATAAATACCACTCGGAGAGCCATTCAGCAGGCTGCAGTGAGGCAGGCTGGCAGCTGCTGCTTTCATAACTTCACCACCGGCTGCTCCTTTGAAGCAACACATTGGAGAATTTTGGGGGCAGTTTCCAAACATGGATTAAAGCCCTAAAATCCCATCTGTGCAAGAAAACTACAGTAGCAGAGTCATTCAGCTGTCAGTAAACCACACAAGCTTGTGACAAGCATCACCTCTGTATTCTTCCAGCAGCAGGGCAGCTCCCATCGCTTCCAAACACCGCTGTGAGATGCCGCTGCCACCAGGGATGCTGCTGTGTGAGCTGAAGGCCACAAAAGAGGGTGGCAGAGAGGTGTCAGTGAGGCCCCTCCAAGCCAGCCACCAGGTGTCTGCCCCACTGGTAGCCCCACAGCTCCAGCACCATCATGCTTTCTGCCTCCTGCTGCCCACCAGCCTGCCTGCAGCAGGGAGCAGAGCACAGCCAGGCTGCCTGCGAGGCACTGCTCAGGTCTGCTTTGCTTCCCCAGAGCAGAGCAAAAGCTCCTGTTACAGTAACACCCACAGGAACAGCCCCACCATGCTGAGAGGCACAGGGTGCCCCAACCTGCCCCAAACCTGTGCTCCGCCCTGCGAGACTGGGGGAATCTGAGAGGTCTGCACAATAAAAATTCAAAGCATCCCAATCCAATAACCAGATGGAGCTGCAGGTGCTAATGAGATTGTGCATTGTCTGTCGTTCCCCAGCTTGCATCTGTCAAGGGCTTTCTATGCCCCACCATGGCAACATTTGCTTTAATTAAAGAATCTCCGCGCTGCACCAGAGGGCAGATTCACCCCAGCCAGGATTTGCTGCATTCACCGAGCTGCTAGACAGTCTGTCTCTTGCTGGGGATTAGGCTCCGGGAAACTCTCAGGCTGTTTGGCATAGAAAAGCGGGAGAGTTTCTATGGGACTTTGAAGGACATAGTTCAATTAACTTTTCTCACCCTCTCTTTGGGCCAGACACAGGGTACGTCTGGTGGCTCGCACCCCCGGCAGGTGATGGGGCTCAGGATTAATTACAGAGCTGACATTCCCGGAACTCTGCTCTCCCAGGAAAGCCGCCGGGTGCTGGGAGCTGTCGGTTCCCAGCCGCCTCCTGCTCCTCTCCCACTGCTGACTGCCTCCATCCCCATCACGGTGCTGGAAAATCCCATCCATCACCAAGCTGCTGGCACTGCTGCGGGTCCTGCACAGCCTGCTTGCTCCAGATCTCAGCCATCAGAAAACAGTGGAATAAATCACTGACAAAACGTTAGAGAAAGATAGCAGTGTGTCTTCTCATATGTTGTCATGATACTTGGTTCTTATTCTTTGAAAATCACTGCCTCTGGCATCTTTGGGAGGGAGTGAGGAGGACAGGCTCTGCTATGGGGGCTCCTCTGCTCCCCCAAACCTGCAGCTTATCCATGAGATGCTCATAGATGTCTGCTCTTGGGCCACAGCACAAAACACTTTCCCTGCACCACCGGGACAAGACTCCTGCAGTCCATCATTTTCAATCATTCCTTCTCTATTTGGCCTTGTATCAATAGGACACAGCTTCTACCATGTGTTGGAAACCAGCCTTTAGCTCATCATGTCCCCCCCCAACAGGTTTGGAGCACAGCCTCCCATGCCCACCAGTGATGCCATCTACCAGCACTGCATTGCTGATGCTCAGAGGCATTCTGGCAGCACCACTCCCCAGGCACATCCTGCACAGGGCTCTTCTCCATAAACCTCTGCAGCAGCAGGTGGGATGGTTACAGTGACCAGGGTGCTGGGAAGAGGAACAAGGTTAAGGGCAAAACAAAAGCCTAAGCTCTGGGTTTGAGATTTGGCTTGGATTTGGTCGGTGGCGATGTATTCTCAAGAAGCTTTGCCACTCAGCCGTTGGGATGTGCAGTGCTGCTACCTGGGCTCGCTCAGCCTGAGTGTTAATGAACGTTGGAAGAAGGCATCAGAACAGAGACAGCGGTGGGAAATGTGTCTGCCCATATCCTGCCAAAGGACGAGGCTCAGCTCCCAAAATCACAGCACCTTGTGCAACCTGGTCGATAGAACCAAAAGGTCTTTCGAAAGAAATCTGGAAGTGGATTGTTGATGCTATCAAAGCATCCTGTTTTGACATTTTCTGAATGAATCATTTTGGATTTTTTTTTTTAATTTGAAATGACCTCACCGCCTTCTTTTATATTTTCTTTTATCTTTTTTAGGGTTAGAATGGAATAGATTGTAAAACGTCATAACCAAAACAAAACAAGCGATCTATGCCTCAGCGAAGCATTTTATCCCCTCTCCTTCAACATTTCCTTTTAGGTTTTATTTTCTGTAGTGGAGAATTTCTAAATATTTGAGTTTTGCTCCACCTTGAAGCCAAACTTTGCAGTCTCAGGATGATCCCACCATTGCAGATGCTCGGCTCCTCTCCGGCACTGCAGGGTTTGTGCCTCCCATCCCCTGGGACCCCATGTTGGGTGGCTGGGGGAGCGAGCGGCCGTGGGTGGCCCCGACCTGGCTGGGGGTGACCTAACAATTAGCACTATCTGACAACGTGTTAGGATTAGAAAACTCATCAGAGAAATCTCCAAAATGAACGTTTTTTGGTGTGTGTGTGCGAGTTCAGCTTTTCTGCCCCAACCAGGAACAGATGTCTGAACTGGTTGATGAATTGGAAACATCTGAAACAACTTTCCAAGCTGAAGTACAATAAATATACCTTTCATCACAATCCCTGCAAGAGGGTTTTAGAGGCAAAAATCACTGAAGTGTGTAATACGGCCCATGGTGAAGAATCATTATAACAAATGAACCAAATTAAATGAGCATTTCTCCCCTTCTCATTGACTTGCCCGGGACTCCAGGTGTCACCTTCTCAGCTTTGTCCTGCTGGCCTTCACTGTTTGCTCTGTGGACACAACAGGGCTGCTCCTGGGTCCCCAGGCACGGCTCTGAGCTGCTCACCACCTCTTCACAGATGGGACCCTCAGATCCACCCGACGCTTTTTTCAGCACTGCATGGCAAAATGATGGAGTGCTCCAGGGCTACGGCTGTCTCCTGTAGCTCCAGTCCCCCCACGCTGGGGCTCACAGTCTGTCTGGGAGCGAGCGCTGTCGGGACCAGAAGCAATCAGCAAAGCATCCTCGTGGGTTAGCACCAGAAACATCTGTCAGAGCCGTGGAGGGCATCCTGCCAAAGTTCAAGTGGCTGTCATTCCCGCTGTTGATCCCATGACCTGGAGAGATGAGAATCTTTCAGCAGGAGTTGTCAGGAAGAGTTTATTTTTCCATGTCTCCACTTGGCTTATTCCACCGAACAAAGTCATGTTCTATTGATTTATTCTGAGATCACATTTATTTTCCCCTTAGAAATAAAACCCAATATTTCTCCCCTTCAAAAATTCATGTGCTTTGCATGGGATTTGAGGGCCCAATTTTCAAGTGTGAGCACATCCATAAAAAACTCACGCGCCAGCAGGTAGCACCATTTACACTTAGGAACCTGATACTGGAACATGTGCTTGTGCTCAATGAGAAGAGCGACTCATTGCCTCGCAGCAGTTCGGCTTAGGAGGGGAATTCACTCCTGTTCACATTCCGCAGCAGCTCAGGGCTCTGCAGGCACACACCAGTGCTGGGCACACATCAGTAACAAACTCACTCTGTTAGCTAACAGCCATGCACTTTATTACACCAATGCGTTATCAGAATGGTTAAAACATCCCACTCCATTTTCAGCTGGGGGCTCAGTGAGGGCTGGGAGCTCTGGGGCTATGGCACAGCCTCTGCAATGAGATGCTGCTGCTCACACATCACTTCTGTGCCTTAGATGATGGCACCTCTTCTGAAAAGGAAGGCTCATTTCTTCCAGCTTGTCAGGACTGTTCCTGTCAAATACCCAGAGATGTGGTGGTTGCCCCATCCCTGAAAACACACCCAAGAGCAGGCTGGAGGAGCTCTGAGCACCTGATGGAGCTGTGGGTGCCCCTGGTCATTGCAATAGGGTTGGACTGGATGACCTTTAAAGGTCCCTTCCAACTCTAAGGAATCTGTGATTCTATGATTCTACTGCAATGATGGCAATCCTGGTTCTGCAGCCACTCTGTGCAGAATAGCACAGCACCAGGGCTGTCTCGAGAGCGTGAGCACTAATAAGCCATCTCTGCTAATTACCTGCTGGGCAGCCCAATGTTTGTCCTAATGAGCAGCACTGCCCTCCAACAGCCATGTCAGGAGCCAGGCTCTGGGGATGCAGCAGTGACAACGCACAGCTGGGGTGGTGCTGGATGAGAACTAGGTTTACTTCATTTTAGTTTCTCTTCTTATTCTCTAGTCCACTTTTCCTATTCTATTTCTACAACTAGAAAACTCAAAATCCTTCCCTGGCCCTTACAGCAAACAGCCAGCTGCACAGAGGCCATTGCACAGCTGTCAGGCACCTTGCACTATGAGCAGCTGCTTCCAACTCAAGTCAAATGGGCTGATGTTTGTTCTGCTGCATCCTTGCCGTGGGATGCATTCTTTCTTTCACTGCATTTTGCTTTGTTTTCTGGAAGGTTTCACCTGTCTTGAGAAGCTCCCACACTTTCCTGCCCTGAACCAGAGGACTGAAATTTGGCAGGCAGCAGACCTAGAGATGCACTTTTTGTAGTCCTTTCAGAAAATAAAAACACAGTGCATATGTTTGGTCAAAGTACAAGCCGTTGAAATACCCTCTCACACACACATCCCGCCCTGTGCACCATGCAGCCCATGCCATGCACCCTGCACTGTGCATCCCACACTCACTACTTCACACCCTACATGGGGACAGATTCCTGTCCCACATAACAAAGCCAGCACTGCTGTGTTCCCTGGCACAGCCTCTGTTTCCCATCGTCTGTTCCCGTTCAGATGCAGCTCAGCGGCAACCCAGCGCCTGCATGAGAACTTGCTCCATCTGAGGCAGCTTTCTCATTTAAGAAAAAAAAATACTCTGGAAGCCACTGCCTCCCTCCCCTTGCCAGCAAGTTTAGAGTTTCATAAAGCCCGTGTGGTAATAGGTTACAAATGTACCTATCCGTTTTACATTTGTTTTTATTCAGTCCCCGTGAGCGCCCTGCAAACCCCGACCCAGGCAGGGGAAGGCTGCCCTGCCCTGCCAGCTCTTTCCCCTCTCTCCTCTCCAGAGAAGGCCATGAGTGAATTGTTCTTCCATAATCTAAACCAACACTCCTCCCTGGCAAATTGGATTTCAGTTAAACCCTATGACTTATGTGCAAATCCTCACAGCGGATCGCCTTGCGCAAAGCTCCCCGCAGGGCGATGACAGGCATGCAGAGCCACAGCCTGCCTGGCTGCTGCATGGGGTGGCGTGGCCACTGCAAGCCTGCAGGCATTGCACCCTTGGGTGCTGGGTTTTGCACCCCTGCATGGTGGGCATTGTGTCCTTTGGTGATGGGCACTGCCTCCCTGTTTGATGGGCACTGCATTTTCTGATGATGGGCATTACATCCTTAGGTAATGGGCATTGCATCCCTGGTTTATGGATATTGCATCCCTGGTCAATAGGCATTGCATCCTTTCTTTGATGGTGGGCACTGCATCCCTGGTTGTTGGGCCTTGCATCCGTAGGTGATGGGCATTGCACCTCCATGTCCTGAGTATCACACTCTCAGGCCTTAGCATTGCACCTCCACGCCATGGGCATTGCATCTCCATTTAAGAAGCCAAAAAACAATCCCAGCAATGAGATAAATAGCAAAGGCTGAGTTCTAAAGGCTTCATTTTAACGTCAGAAGTTCAAAACAGAGAATGTATCACAGTCAACTATCAGTTCCAGTAAGTAGGCACTAGCTAGGTATCATACGAGATGTATTTTTTTTCTGAACGTTTTTGAACTTCTGAAGATATTATAAAGCACAGTTCCCAGATGAGTCAACCAAAAAGGTCTTATTTGGATCATGTGAAACTGAAACTGAGCAAAGCCACCCATTTCTAATTTAGTTACATGGTGATTACATGGGTTCTCAGCCGAAAAGCAACAAGGACTTTTCCATGATGAATGAACATTTTCAGTGTCTGGAGTAGCAGCTGTCACACAGCTTGTCCTTCCGCCAAGGGAAGAACTCCAAGGGGATATCTCCACTTTGGCTTCAATTTCATTTCCTGGTTTTGAGATGTGGGACGACACGCATCCAACACTGCACACCCAAGGCCCTGAGCTCCGCATGCAGCCATGAGGGCGCAGCCATGGGGATGTGAGTGGGCTCTCTCCCTTTGCTGCAGCTTTGTGATATTGGAGCGAAAGCAGCAGCAAAGAGTGGGATCCACTTCCTGCGCAGTTATTTAGAGATATTATCAGGTCCTCCGTGATCAACTCTGCTACGGAGAGCTCTCAGATGGAAAAAATCTATTTAACTTTGTGGTCTGTTAGCAATTTAAGTCGAAGAAGTGGTGTTTGGTTCTATTGTTTTCAGCCTGCAATGTTCGTGTGAAAGATTTCTTTGATTCGGGATGCTGCAATATACAGAGGAAACTGTACACACCATGCAGTAACAGCACACTTGTGAAAATGCAGATAATTGACCAGGAGCTGACTGGGAGGGAGATACCAATGTTGTTTGCTTAAAAGGATGTCATCAACTTAAAAATCATGTTGCATTTACAAGTTACTTCACATGCTAAGATAGGCGAGACCTTGGAGCAATCCTCCAATGACTAAATGAAAGAGGTCACAAATTTTCCTCTATTTCACCCACTTCTGCTGGGCTTTTTGCTGTGTGTTGCCCATGCCCTGCAATCCCCCTCGCTGCAAGCTTGCACACTGTATAATCAATGGATATCAAGGTGTTACAATCACAATATAATCAACAGAGTTAGGCAAAGCGGACAATGATAACAAAAGCAAATAAAATGGAAGGCTTACCCTTCAGCTGGGCTCACCACAAAACACCAATAGAGGCAACCTCCAGAAGAGATCCTTCCCCTCTGGTAGCCAGCTCTTAAATAGGTCTAGGAGGGTGCAGCCTGTCTTCATCCCTTCCAGCAGCACAGGTGAATTGCCTTCACTGTGCTCCTCTGGCTGGCTCATGGCTCACCTCAGGTGATCAATCAGAGGTTCAGGCCGTGACTCAGTAGTTCCCATACACACACATAGAGCAAAGTCTGGCTGTAGGGAAACCAAACCCATGTGCTCAGCCTGGCCAGAATGGAGCTGTGTGATCAAAGAGGTTTTCCCTCACCTCCAACCCTGCACCTGGGGCAGAAGATGCTCACTTGCCATGGGACTCCCCCCCCCCCCTAAGGAAGCTCCAGCAGGGCTCACAGTTTAATCCCATCCCTGACTATTTCTATTTGTCCAATTCCAAATCTGGTCTGCGTTAATCAGCCCCATTGTTTTAATTAGAATATCTCAAAGATGAGCAGCAGCAGTCCTTGCGGTGATTTCTTTGGAGCTGCTCTCTCTCTGTGGTTAGATATTGCTGTAGGGATGAGGTTCCTGTGCCCGTCTTCTTCTGGTGGCACAACTGGTGTGGGGCTGTGAGGAAGAAGTGAGCAGCACCAGGGAGGCAGGAGGGGCTGTGAGGTGGCAGGTGGAAGGAGGAAGTGCCCCGAGGGTTGGGGTTCCTATCCTCTGCACCACGATCCCACTGCGATTAACTGGGAATGCCCAGCAGAATGATTTCCATCCTCTCTGCAATTGTGTATTTGAGGGCTCCCATTATGCCTGTGCAGACCCAGACTGAACAAGGGCAATTCTGCTGAGCCCTCAGGGTGGTTTCCAGACCCTGCCAGTCCCCCCAGCAGGGTCCATCTCATGCCCCCGAGCAGCGCAGGGTGGAACCTGTGGGTTTGAGCAAGGCAATGGGCAGCTGAGCCTGATTCCCAAGCTGCAATTGTGGCCACAGCAATGGGCTCTGCTCCGTGCTCTGCTTTTATGAATTTGATTGAAGCAGAGAAAGATCTCACTTCATTCAGCCCCCAGCTGAATTACGAGCAGCAGTCCTGGGGCTCTGCTCTCATAAATGAAATACATGCTGCAATGACTGCTCCATTTGCCAAGAGCTGTTAATCGGTGACCCAGCGCGGTGCTCGTAATCTGGCATTTTCCTGATTTCACCAACCTCTTCCAGCAGTTTATGAGCACTGAGCCATATCAGAAGAGCACAGAGGCAGGGCTAACCTCACTGCTGCCATGGGATAAAGCAGAAAGAGGATATTTTTTTTTTATGTGGGCAAGTGCCACCGAGCCAGTCAAGAAGGCAGAGAGCCCTGGCCAAGGAGAAAATGGCCCAAAAGCTCATATGGGATTAGGCCAAACCATCCCAGCTGCAATGTTACCTGCTTTAACAGCATCACATCTGCTGCATTTGATACCATTGGTGTTTACTGTGCTTTAAGGATCAGCATAGACGCTGATGTAGCACATAGTCAAACCAAACTTGGCTTACTAACTCCACAGTGACATTCAGCAAATCTGCTTTCTATTATTATTTATTTTATCCATTTAATGATGCAGCAGGGACGGCTCTGTAATTAAGATCAAACTGGATTTTTCACTCAAAGTAAAACTCTCATTGCAAACTCCCCCTGAAACGTCGGCGCTTGAACAAGAATGCTGCTGCTGAGGTTTTACAAGCACGTCTCCCAGGTCAGCTATTGCAGTGGGAATGTCCCTGAAGGAGAAGATCCCCCAAGTGGGGATGTCCCATGCACCCGGTGCTCAGGGGCACTGTCCCCACGAGGTCCCTGCGCTGCTCCTGTCAGCATGTAGCAATGAAGCAAGGCCCCATAAAAGCAGCACTTCTGGTGCTTCTTGGAATTCAGACGAGCTGTACCCAGTAGAGACCGTGAGACTCAACACAATGTAGTTTTGTAATTTTAATGAAATACAAAGATCTACCAGCAGTCTGGAAGCAGATACCCAGAAAGCAAGGCTCCCTGCTGGTGTCAGCCCTCACCGTGCCACCCAGCTCCCAAGCAGACAGCACTGCCAGCAAGCAATTAAACTGTGGCTTCAGATGGGATTCATCCTTATCTGCTTGCATTGGCCTTAAGTTCTTTGGAGGAGCCATAGCTGAAAAAGCAAGGCAGCAGGGCTGTGCTGTGAGGCTGTGCCCTGGGCAGCGTGGTGCAGCGCCTGGCTTCGTAGGGCGTCTGCATGGGGGAAGGTACATGGCAAAGTATACCTCACATCAACCCAAAACCTGGCTCCGAATTTCGGTCATGGCACCTGGCAGCTGTTGGATAATGCCAATCATGAGTGAAGAGGGACAGATAAAGGTGATGCTGAATGATCCTGATCGAGCCTGGGGTTATTGCATTTCTCCATGCTCTGTTCTTTTTAGGATTTAATGCTGCCAAAGCCCGGCCATGCACAACCTTCCAGATGAAATCCCACTCTTACTTGGGGGAAGCAGCTTCATTCACCAAAGGATAAAGGAAGATGTTTCCCATTAACACATCTAACACCCCCATTAGAACATTCCTGGTTGTGCTGAAGTGCTAATGAGATTTCAATCTTAGATTCTAGGAGGAGAGACAGTAATTGGGGCACATTTCATTTTCACGGCTGGAGAGGCTGATTTAATTGCCTGAGATTAACCCTTCTGCATGAGACAGCAGCTCTCCTGGATGGCAGCAAGGAGGAAATGATCAAACACCTCAGCAATGATTGGATGACCGATGGCAGGTGCAAAAGCAGGTGAAAATGGAACAGCTTTGCACTGTGTTCATCCCCACCGGGGAGGTGGGTGCAGAGCTGCAGGCAGATGCGTAAAAACAATTTAATTTCATGCTTTAATTCTCTAAAGCTTTTGCATGCCCTGTGTCGTGCAGGCAAGGGGATCTGCACCCTCAGCTCCTGCAGGGCAGCGATGGGATGGACCCTGAACCCCTGCCCAGGGCTACATTGGGAAGCTCCCTGGTTTAGATGCAGCTATGCAGAGAGATACTCCTCAGCAAATGAGGAAAGGGAGAAATAAGGTGAGCAAATGTTTTATTTAATGGATGGTTTAATTGCTGACATCTGTGATAAAAGCTCCACTGTTTGGTTGGTTTTTTTTCCTTCCCAAACTTATCTCAGGATGAAGCAGGGATGTGGGGGCAAATTCTTCCTGCAGTCCCTTTGAGTCCCATCCAAGGAAGATAGGGAATAAAATGTGGCACATGTTAAACATGTAAATGAGGTACTGATTTACTGATTTATCTGTTTCTCGCATGAGATCTTCTTTGGCTGCATCGGAATTACTGTATTATTTATAAGCCTTAAACATTTAAAATTAGATGTGTGGTTTTAAAACAAAACATCAAAACCTTCATACAAACCACATTGTTTCAATAAGAAATTAGATTTAAAACAAAAAATTCTTTAAAAAAAGCAAATTCAGAATGTTTCTGTGCAGGATCAGACCTGCACTTCATGTGGTTCGCATCCACATCAGATCCACTCTGCAGGACTGGGTTCTTCTTGCAATGATTTGCAACAGTGAAGTCAAAATAAACAGATCTGGTTTCACTCAGGAATATTTGCTTGTTATTGAAAAGCATCATTTTCCACACCATCCCATGACATTTCGTGGGGAAATATTGCAAGGATGCTCATAACCCATCCGAGATGCTGGGATGTCCCACTGGAGCCAACAGCACCGCAGCAGTGCTCCCCACGATGTGCAGCCAATTATTTGGGAGCTGCACCATGCTGACCTGCATGGGACCAAGTTTTATCTGTTCCTTTTTAGGTGCAGCACCAGCTGTGCAAGCAGCACGGTCAGGGCTGCCTCGTGAGCTCCTGCCTCAGGTTGCACAGCCACGAAGAGCCAGCGGTGCTTCTGGGTTATTGGTTGCCATGAAAACATACTGAATGGCAAAGCCTGTTTCTAAAAGGAGATGGCCCTCGAGCAGCCAGCTGACAAAGGACTGAGAGAAATCTGCCAGCCAGGGGTTGTGATGGTTTCATTTCATCCCACTGAGCTGCTGCTGACCCATTTCTTGCTGATTGCCTGCCTTACCTGAAGAAGGTGCTCGGGGTGAGTGAGCCTGGCACAGGGCAGGTTCATACCAGGGTTGAAGGGTCCCTCCTGGCTGTAGGAGAGCCTGTCCCACCCCAAAGGACCTCTGTGGCCACTGGGAGCTGGTAGGCTCAGAAGCGCAGCCGAGATCAGGATGCTGGGAAGCTGGAGAATGGTGAAATGTGAAATTCAGCAACAGTGTGAGGCAGGAACGAGTCCCAGCCCTGGGGGTGAAATGGCAGTGGCTGCTGGATTTGGGGATGGTGCCCATGTCTTGCACACAGGCTGCCAGCATGCAAGAAATGTGCTGCAGCACATACACAGCAGGCACCACAGCTCATCCTCCATGTGCAAGCAGGCACCTGGACATCTACATCTTGGCTGAAACGATTCTCAGGTAGCAAGTCTGCCCTGGAAGGAGAAACCACTCAGCTGCATGCTGGAATGTAAACGTGCAACCTCCTGGCCCCTTTGTAAGCTGTAGGTCCAGGGAAGACAGGTGGATGCCTGCAATCCAGCTCAATCCTCATCACAGACCCAGAATTCACCCCTCCCTTTCCAAAAACAAGACAGAGTATGACTACCACAGGCACCCTGGTGCTTTGATCTCTTTTAAAGGATTGGTAGTTGCGTACGTTTCCAAAGCCAGGCTGGAGCTGCACCTCGGTGATCAGAGGAAGAGGTCTGGGGCTGCCATGGCCTCAGACCTTTGTGCGAGGCTGTGAGAATCACGCCTCAGAGCATTGCAGGCTCCTGCATTCAGTCATACCACAACTTTCAGCTTCTGGCTATTGCAACTTGTGCGTTCTTCAAATGGGGGGGGGGAAGGGGAGGGGGGGGGAAGAAATGCTGATGTCTCTCATTTACCATCACGGGCTGTTGCCCCACCATCATCACCCCATAAACATGTCAACAGCGAAACGCAAACCAAATTGCAGCGAAGAAGCGCAACCATAGTCAG